TGGATTGAGAAAAGGTTGGTATACTTATGGATTGACCAATTCTTTCATTGGAAAAACACAATTGCTTAACTGCTACTCTTTCTAAGAGGTTGTTTGGTTTAAATACACGTTATGATGAGATAAGTTATGCTGAGATTATTTCTGATTTAGCGTTTGGTTTGTTGTATATTCAAAATAATATGCATTGCATAAATATTAAGAATTTTTTTTTTTTGTTTGCAAAAGTACCCTTCATTTTATTTAGTTATTAAAATTTTCTTTGCAAGTTTTAATTATTTATTTTTAAAAATAAAATTATCATCTTATTTTTGTGTGTGCATTCCCATCATAGTACCTTATGTATTTAAAAATAAAACTTTCTTCGTATTTGACTTTAAAATAGAACTTTCATCTTTAGCTTGTTAAAGTAAAAAAAGATTAATGACGAATCAAAATATAAATAAACATAAGAATTAGTTGAATAAATTGATAAAATAAAAATTACATTTATATAGTGTATTCTTTAAATAGAAAACTATGAAGAATTATCATAAAAATAAGTAGTAAAGATTGTGAATATTATTATACATGGTATTAAGAAAATGTAAATAACTAAATATACATGAATGTGAATAGTGAAGTATAAAAAAGGTTTTAAGAGACATCTTTGTCATTTACCTATTTTATCCCTGGATAACTATACCACCCAAGGGAAGGGATAACTTATCCCGCTATCAATTATTAATTCTGGAATAAGTTATTCTGGACTTGCCAACCAAACAACAAATTAAATGCCACTACAATTTAATCCCAAGATTATTTGATATTATCTTTCACACCAAACAACCCCTAATAGTTTCAACACATTCGTTGTAGTTATGATGGGGTTCTGAAGCACAAGGAGATTTTACTCGTTGGATTGGACGGTCCGTAGGCTTTCTTGCTCTCCATGGAGCTTTTGGTCAAATATGTTTCATTTTACCTTAATTTGAGCTTGCTCGATCTGATCACTTACGACCTTATAATGCAATCACATTCTCTGGTCCAATTGCTATTATTTGTAGCAACTATATTTCGATTCATCCTATTTTTTCAAGGGTTCCATAATTGGACCGGAGTTCATATGATGGGAGTTGCTGCTTTGTAATTGCAAGAAACTAATCAAACATAACAGGAGATTGAAATATATGAACACAACTAAAGTCAGTCGAATACCTTTCTACTAACTAATCAAAGAGTGTTAAACTAGAGCGGAGTCTAGAAAGCATGATATACAAGCAGTTGAATAACAACATACCGCTCATTTTTCGCCTGATTAAATTCGGAAGAAGTCCGTCTGGAAACGATCATCATACAGTTGCCAATGCCCGTACCACTCTGTTTGAGATTCTAAGCAGAGGTGAGGCTTCTTCAAGGTTTTCAACTGCTTCATATTCGACGAGGCATTTGCAATATCCAGGCTAGTAACATTTGTACACCCAAAGATATCCAAATGCTCGAGGTTTATACACCCTTCAGATATCAAAGCTAGACCTTTATTAGTCAATTTGGAGAACTGTAGCTCAAGTTGCACGAGTTGTGGCATGAATTTCCCTATTGCAGCAGCTTCTGAATCACCATCTTGAGGACAAGTATCTACATACTCCCTCGGGACAAAGGGTTCTTGTTGGGAAGGATTAACCTGAGTCATGAGATTTCGCCTTAGAATTCGCAAATTAGGACAATGCTGTCCTATAAGAGCTAGAGACTTGTGAGATATTTGATAGCAGAAGCTGATATCAAGTTCCCTAAGCAACGGGCAACCAGAGGCTATCTTAGACATTGTTTCATCGGTTACATGTGGACACCTCTGAATTGAGAGAACTTGAAGGTTAAGCGACCTGTAAGAATAAATTCAGAGCAAATATTTACCATTCATAAACACATGTATCGCAAAAAATTCACCAAAATTAGGAAAAGATCATCTTTTGGAAGCAGTAGAGTTATCAGAAACATGAAAAGAACTCCGTCATTTCTAAAAGATTGGCGAGTTTTTTTCTGTTTGATAAGTAAAAAGATAGGTATTGTTGCTGAGCAAGTCAGATCACTGATCATCCCCATTGCTTCTAATCTGATCAAACACATAAAGATTAAGCCTACACTTCAAGCCACAAGAAAAAGCAATGGTCAGTTCCAACTGCATCAAGTCTCATTTCTCCGGGGAGTCATCTAATTTGTGAATTTCAGATATAGTTTGATGATCACACATAAACCCCAGCTCATACCAACATAAAAACTTTAGAATTCCAAGAAGAAAAACTGATAGCGACGCCCACTGTCTTCAGTCTCAACTTTTTATTACTAGTCATTGTTCATTATGGCCACCAATACAACAGACAACACCTACTAGTCATTGACTCATTTTTCACTATGGCAACCAATACAATAGTTTAAGTCCATCCCTCCTTATTTCTTAGAAAAGAATCTTAAGGTTGGTGTTTGGCCAACTTTTGTCCACCTCGACTAGTGGACCGTGTACCTGTTATGCCCCACCAGCACAGGTACCAAGTAACTATGCCCTTTGAGGCTCAATCAAATGAAAAGAAATCACCTAGCATTTCCTAAATCAGTATTTCAAGACTGATTTTTCGAACACTTTTTTTTGGTAGTTTCATGAATTCAAATTTTTGAGATCTTTTTGCTCATTTCACACATTGGACATTGAAAATGTCAGACAATGAACTGATGAACTCAAGAACAATCTAAAACCAACTAAATAGTAATGACAACATCATCTCATTGTTGAGAAGAACATAACAAACTGCAAAATGAATATGCAAAGGTCTATTTAGGGGCCAGTTTCTGCTCTCAAACATAAAAAAAACATGACAATGCAGATGTAAAACCAAAGACATCAAACATCACGTGAACGACCTCCATATTCCTATCTATCCAACGGCTTAAACACGAAATGTAGATTACTCTACTCCAACGGAAACAAGTAAATCCAACAGGATTTTTAGTACTGCAAATACATAGCACAGCCATAAGACTCTTAAGCAACATTTTCACTTGCAGCTAACCTTTTCAAGATTTTTCTTTTCCTCCTTATACCTCAATTCAGAAAAATTTACAAACAAATTTTCAGCCATAAATTCTCAGCCAAAATGCATTCTCTCTCTTTCCAAAATATTCTTTGTTACCCAGTTTCACCGCAACTATAAAATCCCAGTTTTTCTCAAGATTCCTTTCTTACCCAACATCTCAATTTAGAAAAGCACAAATTAATTAGGCATTATACATAAACATGCTTTTTAACTTGACCTCAACTAGCATTTACGCCTTCCAACTTTGTGCATGTACAAATAGACACTTCAACTTGTATAAAGTTGAACAAGTAGACACACATGTCCTACGCATGTGCCTACTTCTTCAACTTTATATAAGTTTTAGTGTCATAATGTCTTTTATTGCACGGGCAAAGTTGATTGACATAGATGTCAGCTAAGACCAAGTTAAAAGATACACTTATATATTATGCTGATGAATTACCTCTTTTGTTTCATTTTACATGACACACTTAACTCCGTCCGCAAAGGAAACAACAGCTTTCTATTAAAAAAATTTCCTTTTGTTTTTACCATGCAAACATTAACTAATTCCACGAGTAACTACTACCTCCTACATTATCATCTAATGATTCATATCATCTAACTTTTCATTTAGACTTAATAAGATGATATATATTCGCGCTAGCGCTACAGGGTCGGTTTTTTGGGGGGGATAGGCTTGTGAAGAAGCAAGCTTATCCCCGCCCCGACCGGCAGCTGCTAGCTACACAAATATCTATAGTTAATCAAGCATGCATCACGGACGAGTTAACTCGGATCAGTCATGACTACTCCACGACTCGGTCTCCATTAATCACACAAATTTCAATTTCATGCTCAATCAAATACTGTCACATAAATTGAAACACAACAACTAAAAATCTCTTTTTTTTTCTTATAAAATTGGGAAATTTGATTTACCTTTCAGCGATCAAAGCTATGGAACGATCAGAGCAATGCCTAACCCGAACAAAATTCAGAGATCCGTCACTCCAAATTACAACAGATCGAACCATAGAATCGATTTTACTCTCGAACTCGCGATTCCAGTAACGAGTCGACGACGACTCAGCGACCGATTGGATGAACTGAGCTTCGAGATCGATTACCGAATTGAGATTAGGATCCTTACAAGCTTGTAACCAGGATTTGCAGACAAACATGGCACCTCGCCATCGATCTTCAATGGAGAGATGAGAGATAATGTTAACTAGGCATAACTGAGTTAACTCCGCCCAGTTATGGATCTGCACTGACTTGGTTTTCTCTTCTTCCTCAGCCATTTTTGGGGGAAAACTAACCCATGAAAATTATTGAGAATTTCAAAAACTTATCTATTTATATTTTACAGTAGGTTGTGCATTACCATCCGAGCAACTCTCCATTTGGTGGGTTATGATAATGTCACGTGGCAAAATCTGATAGTTTTATAGGGCTTTGTTACTTGTTAGTGGTTAGCGGCACGAATGAATCATATGGGTTTATGATTATGACATAAATAAAGTTCTAATATTAACGGATGACATAAATAAAGTTCTAATATTAACAGATGACATAATTTGCCCTTACCTATATATTCTAGTTTTGGTCTGTTAACAACTTGTTTGGATGGTTGATACCTATAGTTTGTAATGTATCATTTTGTACTATAATGGCTTGTAATGTATTATTTTGTAAATATAATATTTAAATAAATTGTGTACATTGTTGCGATTTAATAACATTCTTTACTTTCTTTAATCCCGTGTCAAGTCAAAATCAGACAAATAAATTGAAACGGACAGAGTAGTACATTAAGGTGACAATTTCTCATTCATGTCTCATTGATGCATAGTCACCACAAGATCATGGTAGGAGTGATCAAACAAGAGCTCAATGAACACATCAACTTCCCTCTTTTGCAAATGACAAGAATTTTGACACTTCTTGTTGTCACCTTAACAACTCTAGTAGATCCTTTTGATCCTCAAGTTCAACTGAACTACTACCAAAGTCCTTTGATAATCCCCTCTCTTTCATCAATGCTCGAATTTTCTCCGCGTCATTCCACCTTCCCATTTCACCGTATAAATTAGCCAACACGACGTAGTAGGCCGAGTTTCTTGGTGCCAATCCTATAAGCTTCCATGCAGCAAACTCACTCAATTCTTGATTTCCATGTAACCTACAGCCAGCAAGCAATGCCCCCCAAACGCTCTTTGTCGGTTCCATTGGCATTTCTGTGATCATCCTTAACGCGTCTTCTAAATGCCTTGAACGTGCTAATAGATCAACCATACACGCGTAGTGTTTCACACCAGGTGGAAATCCATACTTCTCATTCATTAACCAAGAAAAGATTTCTCTGCCCTGTTCAGCCATTCCGGAGTACGCACAAGCACAAAGCACGGCTACTAAAGTCACTTCATCAGGTTTGACATTTTCGCGCTCCATAATGAAGAACCATCGCACTGCCTCCTCCCCGCTTTTAGCCAACGCCAACCCCCTGATCACAGCATTCCAAGTATACACATTCCTATGCTTCATCTCTTGAAATACCCAAAAACCGTGTTCGATTTTCCCACACTTCCCATACATATCTATCAAAGAAGTACCCAAAATCACATCCATTTCCCATCCACTCCTCCTTATTTCATCATGTATCAATACCCCCATATCTAAAGCACCACAATTAGCACAAGCAGACAATGCATTCACCATCGTCACCCGATTGGGCGCCACACCCGAATCCCTCATTTTCTCAAACACAACAAGTGCATCATCAAACTTCCCACAATCTCTATACCCCATAATCAAAACCGTCCACGAAACAACATCTCTTTGAGGCATTTCATCGAACACTTGCTGACAAAACTCAATTTCACCACAAGAAGCATACAAATTCAACAACGAATTCTGCACATAAATATCACAAACATAACCCCATTTCACAACATGGGTATGTACAGATTTGCCTAACTTCAGCTCCTTAAGGTCAGATAAAGACTTTAGAACAAAAGGGTACGTGTAATTATTCGGAAAAATACCTTCTTTATGCATATGAACATACATGGAAATCGAATTCTGTTTCAGTACTGGGATTTCGGAATGTGAACATTCTTGAATCAGTGTGTTGCAGATGAAGATGTGGGGTTTCTTGATGAGTTTAGTGTAAAGGGTGTAAGCAGAGTTTAAGAGACCTAAAGATTTGGATACAGAGATGAAGTTGTGGGCTATGGTGGTGTTGAAATGGAGATTGTTGTGGATGATTTGAGCTTGGATTTGGGAGATTTGAGAAGGTGAAATACAGGTTTTGTTCAAGAAATTGAGGATTTGTGTGGATATATTGTTGAGTTGTGAATATGAGTTCGATGTCAATGGCATGATTGAGCTTCTACTTTCTTTTCTTTCAAATGGAGGGAAATGAAAGAGCTTTTATAGGGCCATAATACATAAATAATCATTCAAACTCAGTTTGAGCTGATAAGTAAACACTAGAACTTTTAATATGCACATCTAGATACTTCAATTTGCTTTTACTATGTTGAACACTTCAAATTCCAAAATGATCATCTAGACACCTCCAATATTTACGTGTCAAGTTTGTATCGAGTGTCCATGAGACACAGTGGCAATGAGTTGGAGTGTTTGGTGGCTAGTTGAGACTATATTAAGGTGTCGAGATGCGAACTCTTAAAATTGGAGTGTCTAGTAACTGGTCAAGATCAAGTTTGAGTGTTTGTGCATGTGTGTGTATATATATATATATACACAACTTTTTTTGTGGAATGGTTGTGTTGTGCGAAGAGTGTATTATGTAGCTGCTTGTCTAGTAGGGCGGCTCTTCTTTGTGGATGAGGAGGAAAATCGACTCTACGAACTCAAGGAAAGATAATTTTCATATTAGGTAAGATTCACCAGCCGCTAGACATAGCATATAAGCTTATAATTGTATCAATAGCACAAGAACTATTTTACCTCATTTAGGAAAGGGCTTTGCATAAGGCGATATGGGGTTGATTTCGCCAATGGAAGCAAACAAAAGCTTTTTCACCTACGAGCATTTGTATGAAGAAAAGAGTCTTGTATGTACAAAGGTTGGAGATAGTTTTTCCTTTATTTTAGGTGGATTAGTGAGTATTTATTTGGATATCATTACTCGACTTAGAAAGACAAATATCTATTGATCGAACCTTCAATTCAAGAGCCATTGTCAACTTGTTATGAAGTTTCTGTCTTCAGTGGGTCATTATTACTTGACTTAGAAAGAGGACAAAATTAGCTCATAAAAAACCATCACCTACCCAACGACTCACTCAAGTTATTAATTCAGCTCATTTTAATCTGTTGAATAATCAATCAGTAGTTAATTCAACTCATTTTGATTCGTCCAATAAACCTTCTTTAAATGGAGGGATTTGAATGTTGGTTTTAATGTAGCTATCATCACATATTTTAGAATTGAGAAGACAATCACGTTTGCCAATAAAATTTAGACGTGGGCACCATAAACTAGTTAACAAATGACTAGTTTAGACTCATTCACAACAGTATTTCCAAGGGTCTAGACTTGAATTTTTTTGACTTCCCACCCATCGTTCGATACTTATATTGAAGCCCCGACTAATTTGAATTTTCCCATGCAAGTGTTGAGACTACATCGGACAAGCGAATTATACCTCACAAAAAATATCGAAGACAAAAAGGACACAGGAGAAATGAAGTGATGATAATCCAACCACCCGATGGAGGACAGAGCTAGGGTATCAGTTATGAATCGATAAAACTCAATTAACTTTAGTTTAAATTTTGTATTTGTCTTAAAAATCCGTCGAATACATACACATTATTATTAATTTAAAAAGAAATGAGAATCCATAATTCATAAACTTCTGATCTTGACTTCGCCTCGTTGTTGTTGGGAGAATTGAAGACAAAGCAAAATATACAATTTGGACCCAAGCAAATCACTTCCACAACTAGCTTGCCAACACACAAATTAACTTTATCCAAGTATATCTCACTGGGCCTAGGAAACACATGGAGAAACTAAGTTCTTGTCACATCAACATGTGATTGAGGGTGTGTTATCAATATCTCTACCTGTGATTCAATGAGACCTAAAATTTCTTCAAATTCTTTTCCTTACAGAAAAGAAGATAACTCTTCTATCCGAAGAAATAATTCATTGAGATAATGAATCATTGATATTGACACATACAAGGTCGCCAAAACCTCGTAGAGGTAGAGAGGTCGTTTCCAAAAGATCCTCAGCTCAAGTAACATGCATAAGAGAAACTCTGAGCCTAATAAAGAGGATAATTTCATTTTCCTCAAGATAACCTGTTTGAAGAACACTAAAATCACAACTAAGTTTAGCACAAAAGATCTTGCCAACCAAGTTCTTTCATCAATATGTTCTTTATATTTTGTTTCATCAAATTCTTTCATCATCTTTAAGGACATGCCAATACTAGCATATCTCTAAGTTTAATAGACCAAACTAGTAATAAGTAAGGCTTCAAGCTATTGAATAGACCAACAACAACAACACATCAGTGCAATCTTACGAGTGGAGTTTGGGGAGAGTGGTGTGTATGCAACCTTATCCCTACCTTGTGAAGGAAGATAAGTTGTTTCTGATAGAACCCTAAGCTCAAGTAACAATCAAATCGATGAGAAATTGAGCACAAGGTTATAAATTACCAATCCATAAACTTAAACTGCAAGAGTTGATTCAGAACAAGTGACATAAGGTACAATACATCCATAGTTGGAGTCAAAAAGACCCTTCAAAAATGACTGAGTGCGTGTCAGATCCTTCAAAAATAGCGCTTTTTTGGAAGATCCGACACGAGGACTGCAACATTTTTGTAGAGTCGAAGCAACACAGGTACAACTTACAAGCAAAACAAAACAACAAGCACACAATCTGAAATGATATATTCAACAAAGATCAAGCAAGAGTGTCATAATGATCCACTCGTGGTTCACGTTCAACACAGAGGATTGCATAGAGAGCATAGATAATTCCAGGAACATAGCCCAATATGGTTAATACCAAGCAAATCAAGAACTCCACCTGGAAAAAAATTCAAAAAAGAAATCACTAACTCCCCTAAAACAATTGAATCAATTCTCAAACACCCTTTTCTGTTTAACAATCACCCAAATCAAAGTTTTTTCAAAAAAATACAAAAAATTGAATCTTTTTTCAAAATTGTAAATAAAAACATCACTAAATCCCCTAAAAGAAGTGATCCAATTCTCAAACACCCTTTTCAGCTCATCCCCCAAAACAATCAACTAAATCAAATTTTTACCAAAAATGACAAAAAAAATTGATTTTTTTTTTTTGCAATTTCAAGAAGAAAAAACACCCCACATCACAAAAATCCCCTAAAACAATTCACCCTATTCCCAAACACCCTTTTCAGCTCATCCTAAAAGACAATCATCCAAGTCAAAATTTTAACCAAAAAAATCATAAAAATTGAATCTTTTTGCAATTTCAAAAAGAAGAGAAAACACCCCACATCACTAAAAAAAATCCCCTAAAACAATCAACCCTTTTCTCAAACACCCTTTTCAGCTCATCTCCAAAAACAATCACCCAAATCAAAGAATCTAAAAATAATAATTAAAAAAGAGATCTTTTTAATATATACAAAAAAAGTTTTAGGTAAAAGGGGATCTTACAGTGCAGCAACCATTGCGAAGGCAAACACCAAGAGGAGGAAGCAAGATTGCTAGTAAGATTTCACAGACAAGTGCACATGTTATCTCCATTCTTGATTTCAAAAGGAGCTGAGGTGTTGAGAAATGAGTGACTTTTAGTGAAATGCAACTTCTTTGATTACTCATATTTATATGGAAAAAAAATACCATAGGATAGTACTTCTTTTTTTTTTTATTTCCCACCCGTGTCCAGATCCCATATTTGAGCTCCGACTAAATTTGGATTTCACTCTGAAGGACCCATTTTTCTCCCAACATGATTTATGTCACACAATTTATTTATTTTAATTAGTCTTTTAATTAATAATAATTTTATTTTTGAGTTTAGTGTTAATAAGATGATTAATAACTAAATAAATATAAAAATTTATTTTAGATTATAAGTTATAAAAATTTCATCTCATTTTTAAATTTTGAGCTTAATCAAACGTCTATCATGTAAATTTGAACGAGTGAACTACTTTTATATTAAGAAAATGCAAAAGTTAGATGTAAGGTGTAAATTGATGGTGGTGGTGTGGGTTCACAGTAGGTAACTGCTATGATAGCTGATAATAGTAATTAATATTTGTGGTTGATGATGATAATTGATAATTGTAACGGTAATAAATAAATAATAATCTTGTTGATGATTAAATGATGTTTAACAACATTGATGGTTTGTGATAATGATAGTATATAGTGACTAATAATGATGACCATTGATGTTAGGTTAATGGTTATAAGATTCAGATTCTTTTTTGTTTCCTATCATGTATTTGGAGTCCGCATTAAAGCTCCGATTAAATCTGAATCACACACTGCATGATCCATTTGAGATAGCACTCCCAATTAAAAAAATTTTATACCTAAGACTCGAATACGAAACTTCTAATTAAATGTCTCACTACTACACTACAACCCATGTTGGTCAGCTTTTTATCTTGGAGACACTTGTAAATGCTAGAGGGCTTCTAATATATTAGTTGCTCAAATTAAAAAGGGAAAATAATGTTTATCTTGGATGAGGACATTTTTGTTTTTTTGTTTTTTTGAGTGTGTATAAAACAAGGACACTAATAATAATTAAAAAAATTGTTCACACAAGACCTACCAGATGTCTTTGTACTATACTGATTGATTTTTTAAAAAAATAAATAGTTTAGGATGTGGAGGATTTATTCAACTAATCCCAACATCTTAAAGTCAAAAGTTGTTTAGCTACAAAAGAATAAATATTAACATTTTACTTAAGACAATTACATGCAGTTAGTTTTCTAATTACTGATTTACATACTGAATGTGTAATTGATTTCACTTTTGAGATGAATTTCATGGAAGTATTAAGTTGTGTTATGATTTTTATGAATTATTAAAATACTTTCATCATGCTTAACTAGTGGGATTGTAATTTTTCATCCAAAGATTTTAAATATAAAAAATAAACATAACAAAAAGTTAAAGAGATACGTAAAAATATACTTTTAATCTCATACATGTAATATATATTTTTGACAAAAAAATTGAATAAAATCCTTTTTGGTACTCTAGTTCCGCCCATGACTCAGTAGGATTGTAATTTATTTTGAAACTACTCGTGTTGGAAAAGAAATTTAATGAGATCGTTGATTCGAATCACTATAAAAGTTGTCTTGATAAGACATTAACATGATAAGACATTAATATGCTAGCAAAGACATTAAAATGTGTAGCACTATTGGGAGATAGCTCAATCATTCATATTATATTGATCATATAATAATTTAATTATGTGTTGCACTATGGGGAGATGATTGCATAAGTTGAATATTTTGTAAAACATGTCTAGATGTACTAAAAAAAATCGTGACAAAGTTTATATCAGAACGATAAATTTGAAATTTGAAAATTTGAAAAAGTCTTAAAATGTGTACAAGTCATGTCAAAGGAGCTTTTGTTTGTCTGTACAAAGGCCCCATACTTATAAATGATGGGCTAAAACAACATTTAAGAAATTTACACCTTTCTTTCTAATCTAGATCATGCAACTTATGAGCTCGTGAACTACTCACCCCTATGTCTAAAGGAGGCTTATGCACTCGTTGTCGAGGTCGATTCTAGAAACGTTTCAAATATGTGTGTATTCCATTAAAGCTATGACAGATGAAAAGAAATCACGTAATATTTTTATCTCAACTAGGATTTGAACATGAGACCTCCATGGTTCTCAGCTAATTTTATTGACACTAAGCTACACCCTTGAATGCTCTTCTAACACATGTAAGACTCGTACCCCGATCATTAAACGATAACACTAGTACTCCTTTAGTCCGTAATGTGGAACAAGAGGGATGCAGAATGCTTCGTGTTTCAAGAGAATGATCGAGGTCACACAAAAGCTAATGCAGCCCAAGCCTATCCCCATCAATCGTCCTGACTCATGTTTGGGACTCGGAAAGGGAAAATAGGGGTGGAAATTATAAGGTGGGAATCGAACTTTCACTAACAAGGTGAAAGTTCAAGTAGCACCAACCAATTGAACTACTACTCAGGTTAGGATGCCTTTAAAGATTGAAGAGGCATTCACTATGGAGGATTGCCAAACCTCAAAATTTAGTTCAAAAGGAAGGAGGAATGCCAAGTCAAATAAGGAGTCCTGGAATCTTATCCCAATCCGACGTGGGACATTCTCATCACCCCAATGGTTCTAACTATGGTACCATGTCAAATTTGGTTTAGGGCCTAACCTTGTAATTCATACCCCAAAAGGTAGCTCAACGGGAAGAAGATTTCTCAAGCCATATTAAAAAGTATCGGGATCTTATCTCGGTCCGATGTGGGACATTCTCATCAGAAATTAAGTACCACACATCAAAACAAAAGGCTATAAAGGTTCAATCTTTAAACTCAAACTGCAAAGTTGATTAAGATCAAGTGACATAGAGTACAATTCATCCAATGGTACAAGTTTAAATTACAAGCAAAGAATTACAATACAAGAATAAACAAGGCAACAACCACACAATCTCAAGTGGTGTAGTAAACAAGGCAAAATGAAAAAGGAATCAAACTATCAAGCAAGAGAATGGTAATGATGGTAGTGTGGTTCATTTTGAATACAAAGGATTGCATAAAGAGCATAGATAATTCCAGGAACATAGCCCAATATGGTCAAAATCAAGCAAATCAAGAACTCCACCTGCAAAAGATTACAAAAAATAAATCAACACCCTTGTCACTAAATCTCCTAAAACAATTGACTCAATTCTCAAACACCCTTTTTAGTTCATCCCAAAACACAATCACTCAAATCAAAGTAGAACAAAAATTACAACTAAACAAATTGAATCTTTTTTATCCACATCACTAAATAGAGTAGACAGTCTATCAAAATAGCATCTCTACCTCTAAGTTAAGTTTGCGTACACTCTACCCTTCAAAGACCCCACTTTGTTGTTGTATCACTAAATCTCCTTAAACAATTGACCCAATTCACAAACACCTTTTTAGTTCATCCCCCAAAACAATCACCTAGATCAAAGTTTGAAAAAGATTACAAAAAAATTGGATCTTTTTTCATCCACATCACTAAACATAGACAAAGTTGTATCGAAAATAGTCTCTCTACCTCTCTTAGACAAGGATAAGGTCTACATTCACTCTATCTTTGCCAGATCCTAGTTTATAGGACAACACTTGATATTTCTGTTGTTGTTGTTTGTATCACTAAATCCCCTTAAACAATTGATCCAATCCTCAATCACCCTTTTTAGTTCATCCCACAAAAACAATCACCCAAATCAAAGTTCCCAAAAATATGCAAAAAGATTGAATCTTTTTTTCACTCACATCACTAAATCAACTTTAAGCAATTGACCCAATTCTCAAACACCCTTTTCAGTTCATCCCACAAAAACAATCACCCAAATCAAAGTTTTCCAAAAATATGCAAAAAAAAAAATAAAAAAATTGAATCTTTTCTTCACTCACATCACCTAAATCACCTTAAACAATTGACGCAATTCTCAAACACCCTTTTTAGTTCATCCCACAAAAACAATCACCCAAATCAAGATTTCCAAAAACTATGCAAAAAAAATCAATCTTTTTTCAATTTTCTTTTTTTAATAAATATGTAGGAAAAAGGGGGATCTTACAGTGCAGCAACCATGGCGAAGGCAAACACCAAGAGGAGGAAGAAAGATTGCTAGTAAAACTTCACAAAGAATTGCACATCTTGAGTCCATTCTTCAAGACACCAGAGGAGTGGGGTGGGGGTAGGGGTTGAGAAATGATGATGATTGATATAAAGGCAATGATATTTTTCTTATGACTAAAATATATAGGAAATTTCTTAAATCCTAAGGTATGTAAACATTACAATTGACATGATAAATAAGGATATTTCATAAATTGGTATAGTGAAATTATTTTATAATATATTTTACTTGAGATTACCTAATACTTTAAACTAAATATGAAATAAGGTTATCGTTAATTTTTTTGACAATTTACATAAATCTCATAGTGTTAAAAGCTAATTACATTATTTTTCTATTTTTTTTCTAAATTACAAAAATCTCTTGAAATTTATAAATTTCTGACACATCACTAGACTTGGGGATACATCAGCAGACATCCGAATACATATGGGAGGGGTGTATTGAAGAGGGGATAGAGATGTATCCGAGAGTAGATTTCGAATACATCACTAGACTTCTAGATACACAGTAGACATCTGAATATATAAGGGGGGGATGTATCAGAGAGGGGATAGAAATGTATCCGAGAGGGGATAGAAATGTATCCGAGAGGGGATATGACATCCGGATACATAGGGAAGGGATGTAGCCGAGAGAAGAGGGATGTATCCGAGGGGGGATAATGATGTATGAGCGAGAGGGGAGTGATGTATCTAATAGGAAATTTTAGAAAAAAATTTAAATGGTAGAGAATTTTAGAAATTATGATAAAATAAGATGTGTATTTAGGTATTTTTTTCCTAAATTGTACACTGAAATTATTAATCATATCTCAAGTATCAAATGACCTCGTGGATAAAATTATTTTGGGATGTATAATCTTGAAATTATAATTCTTGACTAATTTATTATATCTAAACAATAAGTTTGAGGTATAAATTTATCTTCGATTAGTTATTTATTCAACCAAATAAAGTATAAACATATCCGACTCTAATTTTTTTTTCTTTTTGATTCTAAATCAAGAAAATGCCCCCTAAAAAGGAAGAAAATTAGTACCATACTCCTTTGAATGATGTATATTGTGGAAGAGATTTGATCTTTGGTATATAAAAAAAAATCATATATGGGTTGACTAGGCAAAGAGAAAAATAATATCAATGATAAAGACATGTTTTTCTTTAGTTTTTGTGTGTGTGAAGAAACCTAAGAGGTCACTTTTTTTTTTGTACAAAAAAAATAAATTTGTTGACACAATCAGATCTATTAATGCACCACCAAAGGATGTGATGTCATGAACGAGATGAAGCTCTTTCTTTCTTAATAAAAAATCTCAAGTTCGAGTTTTGAGTATAGAAAAATTCTTAAGTAAAGAGCTTTAGTGCATCCCTCTGAATGAGGCTTTAAGCGAAGCAAATTCAAAATAATCTAATTTCAATATGAATATCAGATATCGAGTGAAAAAACAAAATGAATATCACCATATATTCATTTATAATGATAGATTGATTTAATCAACAAATATAAATAATTTAAAAAATTGGGAGGAAGTGGATGACCAGTTAGGATCAATAGTCGTTAAATTTTCAACTTTTTAAATATAAAATAAAATTATAGCTCTAAAATTTGAATGTTACTTTAAATATCGTGCACAAATAAAACTGACTATAGAGATGACAAATGATGGAGTTAGATTCTTTATTAAATTAACAAAATTCGTACACTCATTTTTTAAATATAGAATATATTTATACTTCATTTTCTCTACTAAAATAATGTATTTATTTCAAAAAAAAAAATCAGCTTGGTCTTCCCCAAAAATCTATATATATTATATAATAAAGTTATATTGTGTCGGCAACGTAAATGGCGCAAAATTGGAGGACAATATTTTTTTTTAAAATGTCCTTCACAATGTTTACTACTAAAAATGGATTTAATAATTATAAAATATTAAAATTTTATCGCTAACCCTATTTAATCATGAATTGACGATAAATTATCATAAAAATTTGTTAGCTACAAAGTTCATATTCTAATTTAGAATTTTGTGATACGAAAATTTAAAATAGCAGATAGATCAAATACCACAACAAATTGAAAAATAAGAGACCATAAATAATATAAAGTTAAAATAATAGTCATATATCAAAGATTGTATTTATTTTGAAATTAAAGAATCTCAAAGCATATAGTATAACTAGTATTTTCTAGATCAATTAATCTAAAATTATTGTTTTCCTATCATCCAAAAGGAGAAAATTTTAAAAATTATAACATACATTTATTTAATCACAACCGATATTATTTGATACATGTGTTTGTGGATATATTTAATTATGTATTTGTGCGCATAATAAGTGTATTCGTATATATAATAATTGTATCTATGCATATTAATTTGCTATAAAATCCCCAAATCATTGCTATGTTAAACTACCACTATAAAAACTACTAATAAAAGGCTGAATTAACTAATCGACATATTTTTTTCAATAAAAAATAATAGGGACATGCCAAAACTTTTATTAATATTTTTTTAAGAACCAAAGAATATCGACTAACAAGTATTTTCTAGATTAAATAAATCTAGAATTATTGTTTTCCTATTATCCAAAAAAAATATTAAAAATTAAAAATATAATAATAACTAGGCTGTGAGAGGACGCCATTCTTCATCTTGATCATAACCACGAACCACAATTGCATAAATTGCATAAATAATTCCAGGAATATAACCTAGTAGGGTTAAAATCAAGCAAACCAAGAACTCACACTGCAAAAAAAAAGGCAAAAAATAATAATAATAATTAATCAAAAGTGATTAGCAAAATTTATTATGTTGAAAGAGATTGTAAGCATTTGATTCCACGTCTGATATTTGATACTCACATGACTAATTTAAATACGTATCGCGCAAGGTCTTTTAAAGGAAAAATGTCACATAAGGTCACCAAGTATGATGAATTAACTTAATATTGTTGAAACATTACTAGAACCTTTTCTTCAACGTGACGCCTTAATCATCAAGTGACAATTTTGATGGTCAATCAACTTTTTTTCTTTATTATCGTGATTCTTAAATAACGTTGAATGAGTTTTTTGCTACAAATTATAATTTAATCATGAACGACGACAATTGCATAAATGGCATAAATTATCCCTGGAATATAACCTAGTAGGGTCAAAATCAAGCAAATCAAGAGTTGACACTGCAAAACCAAAAGAAAATAATTAATAAAAGTGATTAGCAAATTTTATTGTGTTGAAAGAGATTCTAATTTCTAAGCATCTTTTAGTCACTAATAAGCATGATGCATTTTATATAAGTCAATTCAATTGTATATTGTAAAGAAAGATTTTTAAAAAAAAATAAAATTAGTATAAAATATTTGTAAGCATTTATATGGTTATAAATAATTTCAATTGTGGATAAATTGAGAACTTAGAATTAAATTATATTCAAAGTGAATTTCTTATCATCTATTTAATTTTTTGTGAACGAAGTTATCTAATATATTTGCTTGTGAATTCAATCAAGTACTTACTATTTCTCATCAAATACATATATCACATAACTCAATCAATCAAAATATAGAAAAATAAATAAATAAATTTCTTCACTATTATCGATTTCCCATGATTTTCACCTACCTTATTGACCGACCAATTAAGACACATTGGGTGCAACTTAAAAATACATGACATGAACAATAACAAAATTAGAAATTTCACTACGGATATTCGAGATTACTTAACTTATATATGTACTATCAATTTTTATATACGTATTATAATTTTCAACGAAAGGTATTCAATAACCGTTCTTGATCATGAACCAACAATAAAATTACTATGAAGAGTGAGGGGGTGGGGGATCTTACACTGCAACAACCATGTCTAAAGAAAACTCCAAGAGGTGGAATCAAGATTGCAAGCAAAATCTCCAAGAAAACTTCACATCTTGAAGCCATATTTAAAATATTTTATTTTATATTTAACAAATTTTATGAAGAAAGTTTAATAAACTTCTATGTATTGGAATTAGAGTTAAGTTCCCAAGTGATAAATCCAGCACCTATAAGTACAAGAAATTTGGTTTTTGCTGGTCTTAAGGAAATAATTTATTCAAGATTCAACTCACTAAAATGTAGGATCTTATAGTCTTATTCAATTAGTAAATTTAATTAACATCTTAACTTTTAGTACTCTTTAATTACAATAACATATTCATTATAATATGAAAAAGATAAGATATACATAGATTTTGTAATTCTCGACTAAAAAAATAAGATGTTTATGATTACAAGAACATACAAAGCAAATGAGACAAAAAAAAAGATACACATTGAAGAATACGAAATACGTGACTACTAATTAATACTACATACTAATACTGAGAAGTGGAGAAAAGGAGGCTAGATTCCTACTTCTCCCACATATAAAGTGGAACACCATACAACTGTCAATTATATATCATTCTATTCTAATTCTCAACCTTCATATCTTCATATCTACGTCCATATTTTCAGTAAATTAAAGTCGTATCATATCCTAATTCATGTCTAATGTTCTAAATTGGACCAAATATATCTTTACGAATCGTTTTGATAGTTGGTTAGAGTTATGTAGAATTAGTTATATGTTGGTTTCTTAATATTGCAACCCAAACATTGTATTGATTTTATTTATAATAAAAGAATGTTGCTCTCTCTCTTTCACTATCGATTTTTCCCTCTTTTTTATTTTTCTGTTTGATGGAAGGGATTTTGGGTTTTGTTGTGTTTTTGGTTTGATGTTTATTTGTATAGTGAAAAAATGCATAAACTACTATTCTAAGCAAAAAATGTTACTAAGAAAAGAGTTAATAGTCAAAAAAATTATCTTTTCGCGAGTTTCATACATCAACTATGATTTGGTATTTCTTTTGTTAGCTGAACTATTAGTGTCTATGTATTGAAAAACATACCTATCTTTCCTATTCCTACCTGATTGGAACACCGTATAGTTGAGGTGTGTTTTAATATATACAAGGTAGTTCAGATACGAAAAGGGAATAATTGATAGTTGAGGTGTGTTTTTTAATACATAGATGGTGATAGTTTTAAGCAGGAAGAGGAAACTATTGATGGTTGGGGTGTAAATCTCGCAAAAAAATATGATACTTTATGTGTGTTTTAGACAGTCTTTTGCGTTTTCAATACCGACAAGATCAACGCCTATCAATTCAACACATTATCAACAATATTTTATCGAGAAAAGATTCATTAATAAATTTGTATCTTTTTTATTTAAACACAAATTCAATATTTTCAAATTAGATGGTAAATGATGTATTGTATCGTATGAACATTTAAAACAAAATACGATATAAAGACAATAAAGTTATATATTAAATAAAAAACAATTACTAATGATATTTACTTGAAAATAAATTATTCACATCACATTAAGGAGTCGTTTGTGACAAAGATTAATAGCACAGAGATTAGTAATGTAGAAATTGGTAATGCAGATTATTTATTTATCAAGTATTTGGTGCATTGCTTCTTACCTAATCTTATATGTGGTTTGTATAGTACTCCCTCCGTTTCAAAAAGAATGATCTCCTTTCTTTTTTAGTCAACTTCAAAAAGAATGGCCCCTTTCCTTTTTTGGTAACATTTTACTTTTAACTTTCCACGTGGCATGTTTAAAACCACAAGATTAAAGGGAAATTTTGTACATTTGACATAACTTTAATTTAGGGCCACAAGATTCAAAAGTCTTCTTTATTTTCTTAAACTTCCGTGCCAAGTTAAACTAGGCCACTCTTTGTGAAACGGAGGGAGTAATATAATAGAGATAAGACACAAGTACTCCCTTAGATTATGATTGAAATCTCAAAGACACATCTTAACTAAACTAACACTTTATAACTCATTTTTTTGTAATTTTATACACCTTTTGGTTTATGTATCACTGCGTGACTTCACGTAGTTTAAACATGTGAGAGATGTTTGACTGTCACGTAAGTCAAAAAGGTGTACAAAATTACAAAAGAAAATGGATTCGGGCGTAATACGACCTTAATTTAGTTAAATGTATCTCTAGAATTTCGATTTTGACGGTACTTATGTCTTAACCCAATGCAAAGTATGAACTATTTTTTCTAATGGAAAAATCTTTTTGACTAGAAAATTTGGTCAGAATGATATTTTATCTATGTTATTTTACTTTTTAAAATATTTTTACCCTTTTAACTTTAATATCTTTTAACTAAAAAATGGAGAAAAAATCAGTTTATTTTAAAATTAAAAAAATATTATAATTTTTTTAATTTTTTGACAAATTCTGGCTAAATTATCTGGTCATTTAGCACTTTCCTTTTCTAATACATCCTACCAAACGACCCGTTAAGTGCCATCTTTCTCACATCCTACTCACCTGACTGCTTTATATTGTGTTGTACTTTAGTCAGACAAAGGTCTCATTTTTTCAACACAAATTCCCAAAATCACTGTTTGTTCATCACGCCCAGAAAAAAACCCTACCTTTTTTGCTCTCAATCTCTCTATATATGTAACGATTTGCTGTTTTGGCATTGTGAATTTCAAGAAAAATTTCAAAATTTTTGAGTGAATTTTGATGGATTACAAGTATGAATCGGTCGGCGATCATCCGGCGCCGGCGCGACCTCAGACGATGACGAGCTATGCACAGCATCCTCAGCCTCCGATGAGTTATACACAACTTCCGTCTCTCACTTACTTCTCTCAACAAGCTATTCGAGGTTTCTTCCTTTTCTCTGAATTTTCGCTTTTTTATATATATTTTTTCTGTGGATGAATGATTTGTACGAAAGAAAGGATTTTGGGTTTTGGGTTTGTCTATGTGAAGTATATCGGAAAGGTTTGTGGTTAATCTGCGTGAGAATGTAACTGATTGAGGTGGTGGAGAGTAGTTTTACCATTCTTTTTGTGTTTAATCCGACAATCCAGAATTTGTGTTTTGTATTAGTTTGTGTGAAGTATATTCAGAAACATTTGTGGTTAATCTGGATGAGAATGTATTTGATTGACGAGGTGGAGAGTACTATTAGCATTAATTTTTCTGCTCAATGGGGCAATCCTATAGAGATAGAAGGGATTTTGTGTTTAGCTTATGTGGAGTACATTCAGGAGACGATGTGGTTAATCTCGATGAGGATGTAGTTAATTGAGGAGGCGTAGAGTAGTTTTTCTGTTCAATGGACAATTTTGTATTAATGGAAGGGATTTTTGGGCTTTGTTTGTGGAGTACAGTCGGGAGATGTTGTTTATGTCGATGAGAATGTAGTTAATTGTGGAGGCGGAGAGTAGTTGAGGTGTGTTTTTAATACATAGATGGTGATAGTTTAAGTAGGAAGAGGAAACTATTGATGGTTGGGGTGTAAATCTCACAAAAAAATGATACTTTACGTGTGTCTTTTGACCGATATTTCTTAACAAAGTTGTATCAAGCTGCAGGATAGAAACTGTGTTCTTCAAGCCAAGTATTGAGCTTTTGGAAACTCTCCTTGCTTTGATCACTTGCTTTATCAATCTAGTCGTAGTCTGCTTCTTGTTCTGAAATATCGTGAAAAAAGACAGTAGCAGCTAGCATCATTCTATACATTTCAGCATTTGGACCTCTTTCTTTAGCATGTTGTTCAGCTCATTTCACGGATGTTCTCCTGATATCACTCCATAACAACAACTTCTGCCACACCTGGTAAGGCACATTACATGCGAAAAACAGACGATGTATGGTATCATTCTCCACCTCACAAAGTGAACACATCTGATTTGTAGTCACCCCCATTTAAACAGCCTGTTCCTTGTGTTGAGCCTTCCTAGAGCAACTAACCGTAGAACAAAAATCCATCTAGGTAGGCCAATGTTGTTAGAAACTAGCTTTTTGGAAATAATGTAGTTTATTGAGTGGATGGAGAATAGTGTATGTTAGCATTATTTTTCTGTTCAATTGACAATTCTGTAGCGATAGAAGGGATTTTCGGTTTTATTTGTGTTTTGAGTTGGCCTCTGTGAAGTGCATTAGGAGACGTTGGGGTTAATCTCAATGAGAATGTAGTTAATTGAGGAGGTGGAGAGTAGTGTTAGTGTTGTCGTGTGCTTTGTTATATTGAAGTGGCAATTGTTATTGAGTAAAGAGGGTGATTTTTCAGGAAAATCACTAAATGTGTGGGATTCAGGAAATCTAATGTTGAAAATGCAATGAGAGAATTCCGAGGCAGAGCTAGGATTCTTGCTCTTTTTATTTCTCTGTTTGATGAACAATTCTGTAGTGATCGAAAGAATTTTGGGGGTTTTGTTTGTGTTCCGTGTTGGCCTCTGTTAAGTACATTTGGAAACTATTGTGGTTAATCTCATTGTTGCTCTTTATTATGTTTATCACAACTTTCAGCTGGCTATGTAGATCCGCCTCATTTTGAAAACAAACCTGCCAATATGCGTGAGGCAATTATGAGAGAGATTGAGAAGGAGCGTATTAGAGAGAAGATTATTGCAGAAGAGATTGCTCGTAGACGCATGGTGGAGTTTGACGTAAGAAGAGAGCTCATGATGGAAATACAACTAGCAAAGCAGAGTGGAGAAGGATCATCTTCCTTTTCTTCTCCCACACTTCCGTTCTTGAAGCAACAGAGTGACGTAACATCCTTAGAGGAAAGAATTGCATCGTCACAGATGGGAAGGGGATATTAGTCTCTAGTAGATTGGGTGCACGAAATTAGATTGCAAGACTTGACATAGCGCCATTTGAGGAGCGAATTTGAGGGATTCCTTTTCATCAACGAAGCTTCTGTGACTGATCGAAGAGCGATAAGAAGATAAGTAGACAAAAGAACCTCTTGTTCTTCAAATTTTCAATTTCGTTCTCCAGGTTCTTGTGATTCCTACATATCGTAATATTGTAAAACTATCACTGTTTCAGGTAAATAGAAGGACTTAGTTTG